TAGCTGTATCCGTCTGATGGTGGTAATGGCTCCACGATATCAACGTGTACTGCTGCAAATCGCTGGTCAGGCGCCTTGAAGGTTCCGAATACTGTTTTGTTGTGACTGGCTATTTTAGGTCGCTGGCATTGTGGACATGTTTTTACCATTTTCGCTACATCCCTCTTAATATTTGGCCAGACAAATCGTTCACTGATCAGTGCCGTGACCTTGTTATCTGAATGGCATATATTATGTATGGTGTAAAAAACTTGTCTAGGAAATTCATCTGTGATCCAAGATCGCACATGCTTTGTTGAATTTTAGCTAAAGTGAAGTCTTATCCTGTGATAAGAGTTGATGTAGCTTCAGGTCACTTCGTTGATTCTTTGCTTACTGATCAAAGTCAATCTGCTTTTCTCCCTGTATTCCGTCAATACGCGATGGAAAATCAGCTACGCTGTTGCCTTTTCCAGGGAAATGTCTGATATCAGTAGTAAATTGACCTATGTGATCGAAATGACGGAGTTGTCTGGGCGATGCTTTTTCAAGATTTTGCCGAAATGTGAAAATGATGGGTTTATGATCAGTCAACACCGTACAGTTCCTGCCTTCTACTATGTGTTTGAAATGCTTAATTGCTTGATAAATGGTAAGTCGTCCTCTGTCATAGGTGCTGTACCGTCGTTGTGTGTCAGTCAACCGCGTTGAATAAAACCCAAGGGGTTCGAGTCGTCCTTCACGGATGTGATGCAATGCAGCTCCCACCGCGGTATTACTCGCATCGACATGTAGAATGAGATTGGCTTCTGCCGTTGGGTGTGCAAGTGCACTGGCATCAGCAAGCGCTTTCTTATAATCAACGATTGCTGATTCGGCTTCTTTTGTCCATTTAATCGGCGTTTTGTCTTTTTTACGATTTCCTATTATTGGTTTTTGTAGCTCTCCTTGAACTACCGCTGCATTAGGAATGTAACGACGATAAAAATTCACCATGGCCAAAAAACGACGAAGTTCTTCCGCTCTGCTTGGCTTCGGACAATTGAGAATCGCTTCAATCCTTTCTTTTGGCGGACGAATACCATTTTGATCAATACTGTGACCGAGAAAGGTAACTTCTGTATGAGTAAACACGCACTTGGTAATGTTGAGTTTTAGACCGTATTGGTGTAAACGCTGAAACACTGTATGTGTTGAATGTGTTCGGCTTCGTTCTTAGACGCGATGCAGATATCGTCTATGTAGCAAACCGTGAAGTCCAAACCGCTAAGTACTTGTTCCATGAACCGTTGAAGAGTTAGAGCCGTATTGCCCAGCCCGAATGTCATCACATTAAACTCGAACAGCCCTAATGGTGTAATTATAGCAGTCTTCTTCCTGTCCTCAGGTACTATGGGTATACTGAAATAAGCTCGTTCGAAGTCAAGCGTGGTGAAGATAGCTTTGCCACTCAAATTCTGAGTAAAATCTTGAATGTGCGGTATTGGGTAACGATCTGGAACTGACTGTGCATTGAGTCGTCTGTAATCTCCGCACGGCCTCCAAGTACTATTCTTCTTTTCCACCATATGTAACGGATTGGCCCATTCGTTTTTTTAAGGAGTGCATATGCCTTGATCAAGCATGTATTGGAACTCAGTTTTTGCTGCTTGCAACCTTTGTGAACTGAACCGCCCGGGACGTGCATAGACTGGTTATCCCATGGTAACGATGTAATGTTGCACCGTGGTTCTCACTAACCCATACTTGTTATACGATGTTGGTATTGTTAAATCTTTGAACTCTTCTAATAATTTTCGGAACGGATGATCTGCATTCACTGTGAATAGTGACTCTGGCATATGTAACGCTGTTGCACAATGAACTTTCATGCTGGTTTTGCTGTCAACGAGGACTTTACGCTGCAAATCTACAACTTGACCGTAATATTGCAGAAAGTCGGCTCCTAGTATGGGTTTGCATACATCGGCTATGACGAACTCCCAATCAAGTTTGCGCCGCAGACCAAGATTCAACGTCATCAATTTATTTCCGTTTGTTGCATACAAGAGTTTGGCAGATGCTGTCGGCTTAGTTCTGCCGAAGATCGAAACGGATAGAATTGAAAAATCTGCACCTGCGTCGGCAAGGAATTTCAATTGTGTCGAGGGATCTGAAACATATAATCGGCTGGATTTGTAATAACTGTTTGCTTCGTCAACCGCCGGTGAAGAAGCGGAATTTAGTTTTTCGTGGTTGCGAAGCTGCAGAGCGTGGCACACTTCCGTGCACTTATGCCAAAACACTGGTAGATGGTAGAAACACACTGGATATTTAAGTTTGCCGGACGCGTTCGTGAATGTTGTGTTCGTGCCGGTGTGTTTGATCTATGTCGTGAGCGAAAATGGTGTTGCGATTCTTTGTTCTCTCGTAACTGCTCGCTAAGTTCTTCCACAGCATTTACTAAATGCCTGACATCGAAGGAAGAAGACACAATTGAATTGTCACCTACATGTCTCGCACTGGTATGCACTTCAGGAACAGAATTGTAATTTCCAATTTTCAGCATTAAATCTGCTTGTTGTGCACATTTATTCAAATCGACATCCGAAATGGACATAACCGCTCGTACAGCCTCTGGCAGACGATCCAACCACAATTGTTTGATTGCGCCATCGTTCATGGTGCCACTGGACAAATCGCGCATCGTTCGTAGCAAATATGACGGCTTGTGGTCACCTAACTGACATTCTTGCATAAGATATCGTAGTTTGCGATTTTCTGAATCCGCGAAATCTTGAATCAATCGTGTTTTGATTGCTTCATACTTATGAACGGTAGATGGAGCACGTATGATATCGGCGATGTTTCTCAATGTGTTGCTGTCGAGGCTGCTGACAACGTGGTCGTACTTTGTTTGATCCGTTGTTATGTCCGCGTTTCGAAACTGCGATTCCATCTGTATGAAATATAGATCTGGATCGCGCTTGCTGAAAGCAAATGCTTTTACTCCTATGCGGCAAATGTCGCTAGCTTCAATGTTAATTTGCGCGCTGTTTTCCGTCTGCTTCAGCTTGCGACATGTTTTGAGTTGTTTCAAAATTACAGCTTTAATTAATATTAATTACCATAACACTTATGTCCAACCGTCGAGGGTCACCAATGTAGTAATGTTGACTCTTAATATGAGTTTTTTAATATTTATTACGATTTTATAAATTATTACTAACAATTATTATGTTCTGTTCAAAATTCTAAAATTTTCTAATTTTCAAAATCAAAATGTCTTCTTCTTCTTTTTGTTCTTGAGTTAGTGCTATTACGCACTTTTACTCTATAATGGCTGGGGGGCTGAAGTCATATCATTTATTTGTCTTTTAGTTGATGACGGACCTTAAATCAGCATATCTTCCTGAGAATCCAGAAGTGGACTTGAGGATTGTTACGGCGGGTAACCCCCTTCTTCATCACAATAGTAGCGTATCAACTTTAGTGAATCATTTTAGAGCTCTGTCTCTGATATATTTTATCACTGAGTCAATCCTATGATCTCTATGTATGTCTGTTGATCTAATATACCATGGAATCTTAAACAGTCTTCTTAAAGCCAGGTTTTGAGCTATCTGTAATTGCTTTAAGATAGTATTTGAGGCTTTAAAATCAAAATGTATATGCATGAAAATTTGATTGATTGTCAATTTCTAGTTTTCAAAGTAAACTTCTCTTTTTGAATAATGCCACATGAACGCCACAAATGGATACAATTGCCCTTCCAATATTAATTTTGTTTTTTTCTATTTAAGTTAACTATTTTTTAGTGCTTTGGGTTAATCAACTCAAATCTGAAAGAGAAATATAAAATAAAAGTAAAAGAATATTTACATTAAACATTTGAGTTGAATTAAAAATTTTTTATGACATTGGTCTAGAGTGGTCTAGAGTTTACGCACTTTGGTCTAGACTGTGTCTTGATGTATAGGCTTTTTGCAATGTCTGCATATTTCTCCATATTTGCAACAAGCTTTGCTATTTTACAAAAAACTCTATTAATTTTATCGTTTTATAATTTTATATTAATTTTTATATTATTTGTCCACATATATGTTTGTAAAGTTAAAAAATGTTTATACACATGGTGAGATTAACTACATACATGAAGGCTTTTTTGTTCAATATTTTCGAATAAACATGCATAAAGAAATGAGTGAACAAAATAAAAATACAACAACGATTATTCTCAACATATAATATATTACACTTGATATATTATATATTAATCGGGTAAGCAAATAAAAATATAAATAAATTATTACTAACTATTGTATAAACAAAAATTATATTAAATACCAAAATTTTTGACTATCAGCAATAGAAACTTGTCTACTATCTATCAGCGATAGACAACCCATAATAGGCACTACAGTTACGTAAGCGCTTGAAATGTTTAACTGTCATTTATAAATAAAGAGATTACATAAACTACATCTTCGTATCTTAAAGATTTTCTATGGTCTACCTTTCTAGGAGATATCCCTTCCTTATAAATGTTCTTTGGTAAGAACATAAAAAATAATTCTTTATTGCACATAATATTAATGCAGTTTCTGTGCAACAGTTCTAGAACAAAGAAAGATATTTATTGGATAAAGTGCTTGCTGTAATAAAAGTAAGTAAACATATTAACTCCATTTATACAAATACTTAACGGTGTTTAACGTTAAATAGGTTCTGGTTATAGTTGTGAAATTCCTCGAAACAAAATGCTCAATGACTTATGCGGTATACGCCTTTCAACCGCCGCAGTCATTATCGGTTGGATAGGTGGTGCAATTTCTTTATTGTGGATAGTATTATTTTCTGTTTGTTTAGCTAATATCGATGAAGTAACTAAAGTAGTTATTGATCACTTAAATGACACTAGCATTCCCGAAGAGCGCATACACAGCGGTAAGTTTATTGAAATTTTCTAAAAACTAGTTAAGTATTCCTTCTCATTATACTTTTAGGAATTGTAATTATTTCGAGTCTTTATGTAACCATAAACGCAATTAATCTAATTGCCTCAATACTATTAATTTTTGGAACAATTAAGGTAACTTGTTATTCTAAATGTTATTGTGGTTTATATATCGGTAAAAATTACTTCAGGAACGCCACTTACTTCTTCTGCCCTGGCTTATAAATTCTGGAGTGTCTCTATTTTTCAATGGTCTGTACTTTATAACTATTTTGGTACTGGGTATATCAGTTGGTTCGGCATTTAGTTCTGTTGCTGTTTCTATTATAAGCGGAGGAATAAGCTTAGGTGAGTCATATTATTATAATGCCATATTGTTTTTATTTTTTGTAAAAACAAGATAGTGCTTTTTAATAAATACTCATATTTTTATTTATAATATTTACAGCATTGCAAATATTTATTTGGTATGGAATGTACTCTTTGTTTAAACAAATACAATGTGGCCGAGATCAGCGCCAATACCTTCTTCATCATAATAGAGGTTCCTATCCGTCATACACCAATTTTTAAAATACGAAATATATATTGTATTGTTAAAATTATTTTCAATTAACGAATATTGTTGATTTTGCTTATATAAATTACCTATATTGTAACTTATTTTTTAGACATGTATGATTTAAACATATTTTCAGAACAATTATTAATTATATATTCGTACATATGTGTATAATATTAAAAGAAGCTTGCAATTATTTTTAAAATGTCAGGAAAAGCTGTTTAAAAAGTAACAAAACGGGCATTAGTTTTTGAACGGGCACATACTTAAATCGTTTTCGATGGGCAAATATAGATAATCGCTTGATCTGCAAGATTAGTTTGAATTTTATGGCATAATCGAACATTAAGATAAACCTCAACAGTCATTCATTCCGCAAGATAAATTTAAAACTCACACGCCATACTTATGTATGCTAAATTATAAAATTTGAATTACAGAATCAGCTGTCATTAGTTTATTTACTAGTTACATTTAAGAGATGATTTTAAAACTTTTAGCGAGTTTTGCAGGAACGCTAACTTTTTAACAGGAGTTTGAGATACTAAATCAGAAGCCTAGTACGTTAATTGTATTCTTGATAAGAGTAAAGTTTTGTGTTTACCTAGCATATATAATTAATAGCTCAGCAAGTAAAGCTTGAACTAGTTGACATTGAACGAACACAATGTCATCACTGGCTAAGAGTATTAAGTTTCATTTAAATGATCTACCATTTTTAAAATTTTTATTTTTGAAATGAATCTCTTTCTCTCACTGCCTAAACAGATAAAAGTGTTGCGTTCGATGCGGGATCTAGTTTAAAATTGCAGTATCCCAAAAATTAGGAAAACAAGAAAGGTAAGAAGCCATAAATTATTATCCCTGATATCTGCCTTGACACCCTAATACTACTTGCCGTGGGAACCCTTTTCGATGCTGTCATGAAAACTAACAAAAATTGAAAAAAGGTGAAATTAAATCATCAAAAATATCTTTCAACGTGATTTCGGTAAATTTTCAGGACCTCTGATTCGAATACGGTAGATAAACAATTCCTCAACATTATCATCAAATCAGTTACAACATCAGCTCTTGCAGGTAGGATATATAACTCATGTGAACGCATGGCACTTGTAGGTCTTGATCTTGCAAACACGTTCGATAGGCTCCATCAGTGTCTTACAAAATGACTTGGAACATACACATGTCGATAAAAACATGGGTTACTAAGTAACTTGTAGGAATGTTACCCTCTGATGCCATGATGTTAACTATCTGTTTTCACGTAGTAGTGCATTTACCAATTTGAGTCCAATTAATATTAACTTCCGTCCCATTGAAGTGGCCGTCCACTCTTGTACCTAAACTATCATCTCCTTTTTCACACTTTATATACCCATATCCCAACCCAAGCTTTTGTATATGTAATTTCTTTTATGTTATCTCCCAAATGTGTATATCTCCACGGGCTACTTACAATAATAGCAATAACATGGTTAAGTCTTAGCTATGAATGCTGACTAATTGTAATCAAGCAGAAGCAACTTAATGCTTCTTAAATAAAACCTCAAATACATGGTCTCTAATATGCGAACTGTTGATGGTCTGCAGGTATCCAGCTTTAATTATTTTTTACACGACAATTAAGATATACTATAGGTGACTCTCCTATTGAACTTTATCATATTGTATAAACAAATTAAATATTTTAAATAAGCTGAATTCAACTGTATGCGCCAGCTGTTAGGCTGGAGACGTCCATGCTTCTTGATTTCGATATGGTGTGTATCAAGGAGGACTCTGACAGACCAACGTCTTTTTCTTGATATTCTAAGATATTTATAAATTTTATATTGCTAAATATATTGATTCAAATATCAATACATCCGACTAAAGGCTAAGTTAATCGGTACGTACCGTAAGAACTTAAGCGAACTTAAGCCAAAGCGAAATGCACAACCAACCATATCTGTCTATTTGATACAATATATATTATAGAATATATATATGATAGAATATATATATATTTGATAAAATATATATGATAGAAACGAAGTAAACAAAAGCGGCGAACTTTGTTTATTTCGTTCTTATCAAATACACAGATATGGTTGGTTGGTATGGTTGGTTATATATTTCGTTTTGATTTAAGTTTTTACAGTATGTATCAGCAACAGCAGAACCGAAAATTTTTCAACGCCTTTGTGTAGCAATTGTTTTTCTTTTTGTACTATTTGATATTTTTAACTCATTACACATAAGTTTTAATATCTATTGGATAATCTAAAAATTTTTTTTTTAATTTTCAAGTACCTAAAATTTTTTTTTATCTTCTTTGGTAATTATATAAATCGGTTACCAAAATCGTCGCACGGAATAGTGAATACCACTACTATTACAAATACTACACAATAGGGGTACTATTGTATAGCACCCCTACTTTAATTTAACACATTTATGTGCAATTTACATTGAAACTATACAGATCAGAACAACATTTTCAGAGCCGATGTAAATATACTGATATTTTATATGATAATGGCATTATATAATTCAAATTTGTGTATTTGTATCTACCAACTGTAGGTGAGTCCAGTTTACCTAATACTAAAATTTTTAATACTATTTAGATCATCACTGAAAATTGTAGTAATCATTTAATAAAATGCACTAGAAACACTTGAATTACTCCGTTTTATTAATTCACTGTCAAAATAAAAAATAAACATTTTAAGAGCGCTAAACTTAAATTAATCTAAGAAATTTATTAAATTTACCCCGATTGATATGGATAAAAAAGAAGAAAACTCTAACAACGCTGTTAACAATGATTTGGAGGGGAGCAACAGACGAAGTAAATCTTTGAACGCTGAATCAAATAATAGTGATTTAGCTAAAGGCAATACATCGAAAAATGAAAACAATGATTTAATTATAAAGGATAAAAATTTAAAAAAAACTAACTCTGAGGAAATTTTTGAGGATAGTGAATTTTTGGAAGACGAACCATTTTTGGAAGAGAGATTGTTTGAAGAAATAACTGAAGAAACTTCATTCTATGATGCTGAACCATGCACTATAGACAAATCAAAAAAATTACCATTTAAATTAAAACAAAATCAAAATGGAAATATATTTACCTTACATCACACAGTCACTGAATATGATAAAATCATAAGAATTAGATTGAGTGCATGTTGTTTTGGAAACGGATGCACTCAATTTGTTATTATTGATAAAAGGTGATGATTTTTCTTTTTTCCGAAATGCCAGTAATATATTATTACTCTAAATATTTAAGGGGCAACATTTTTGTATTTGATTTTCCATCAAAACGTTACTGGCAATTACAAGAACAAATTATAGGCGTAAGCGTCATAAAGCCTTCGTTTACAAAGGCAACGCATTATTTAATAGGCACCAAAAATGGTCGGCTTCTTCTTCTGGACACAGGTAAATAAACCTAGTTAAACGTTCGTCTTAAAATAATTATAATTAATTTAGATAGCTCGAAAATAATAAAGACAGCAGAAGTTTATAAATGTCCCATTACTGAAATATCTTTTCCGGGACAGCCATTGTTGCCATCTAATTTAGCACTAATTATTGTTGGACACCTTGCAATTTTATTTAATGTGCAAACCTTTACTGCTACACATCGCCTGGACTTGGATGAGATGCCAATCAATTTAAAGTTCGCAACTTTTTTGCCATTTTCAGAAAAAATTTTTACTTGTTTTACCAATGATGCAATATATTTTTGGTCGGGAGTTACTCTGAGAAATATTCGCATTCACTACCCAATAAAGCAACGCGATAAAAAATTACAACGAATGAAGAGTGACTCCATATCAGAATTTTGTTTAGACTCCGAAAATTGTAGAGAATTTCTATTTAACTGCCAAAATTTAGATTATTCTAATGGTCAGATAGTTTCCTACTGTTATGCTTTCGACGGAAGCCTTTTATGCTTATCAACAATAGATAATTACATATTACTAATCAGCATTTACACAGTTGAGATTAAAAAAATACTTCGAACTAAAGATTTTGTGGTTGCGGAATGCGCTTTTCTTCCGAAACCTAAGGAGATTTTGTTATTTTGCCTTACAACAAAACATCAGGTTATATTACTTGATTGTCAAAATACTAAGTTAATATTGATTGTTCAATCACGAAATGCATTCCATATGGAAATTTCTGAAGATGGACAATTGATAGCAATATTATCAAATAACGGAGAGGCCAATATTTGGTCAACCTCTCAACTTTATAACATATTAAAGTCACAAGAAAAATGTATCGAACTGTTACAAGGCTCTTTTAAAGTGAAAAAACCGATTTGCTTACCCATTTCCAGCAATGAATGCTTTTATAATGATGTAAAGAATATGCTTAAACGTAATCGATTGTTACATATTTTGCGTGAATATGGCCAATATCCCTCAAAATATCGCACTATTATTTGGTCTGCATTGCTTAAATTGCCATATAATCAATCAGAGTTTCAAAAATTACTTAAAAGTGAGGTACCAGTGGAAATTAGAAGCAAATCAAAAAATATAAAATTAAAGAATGAATCTTTAAAACGGTCGCTGATTAAAGTGTGGTCATGCTTGGGATTGTGGTGCAAACCAATTTTATATGCAGACTTTGTACCATTTTTAATATTTCCATTTATAAAATTATTTTCGAAAAATGCTCTTATTGCATTCGAAATTTGTGTCACACTTTTTTTAAATCATTTCCAACTGTGGTTTGAATTTCATCCCATGGAACCTGCAAATTATTTAGGGATATGCGAAAATCTGCTTCAGTTTTTTGACCCAGATTTGTGCAAATTTTATGCTAAAATGGATATAACCTCAACACATTACGCTTGGTCAATTTTTTCTAATGGATTCTCAGAACTTCTCGATCAAGAACAGTGGCTTCATTTATGGGATAATATAATATCGTGTCAAACGTATTTTATTATATTTTGTTGCGTTGCTTATAATATTTTACAGCGAGAAGTTATCTTAAGATTACCATGTAGGGATAACGTGATTATGTTTTTTCACGAACAAAATCCAATTGATGTCAGTCAATTATTGTTAAAAG